AGTGTCTGGCTGTATGCTGTGGCAGGTGATTTAAATTAGAGTATCCATCCTCTTCCTCTGTATTCGTATGCATTGTCTGAGAACTCATTCGTGGTTCAATAAGGATCCTCTTAAAAGACAGACTGAATGATTCGTGAAGGAGAAGCAAAAAGAAAAGCAGAAAGAGGGAGGGGATAGGAGAATGAGTCACATTTCAAGTGCCCTAAGGCAAGATATTTGTATTTAAGTGTTATGTGTGACTCCTCCTTTTCCTCCCTCAGGGGAAGAACTCCGCTCGTCCCACCCATCACCTCTCAGCCTGGGTCTGCATCCCCAGGTCTAGAGACATGTAGGTGTAGCCATATGTTTGGGTTAATACCTATCCTAGCTGTAGTCTTCATTGTACTAGCCTGATTACCTTGTATAAACAATGCATGCCTTACAACCACTATGCCCTTGAAGAAGAACTAGAAGACTGATAAAAGGGGAACATCCTGCCCCAGAAGGTATTGGAGGCTGGATGATTGCCAAAGAAACAAGAAGTCAGCAAAAACCTGCGGTAAGGAGGGGAAAGGTAAAGGCGGCAGGGGGAGATTGCGACCACCAACTCAATTCAAGACTGGAAAGACTTGCCCCCCCACACCTGCAAGGAGCATGCGTGCTAATTTACATGGCAAGCAAGGCTAATTTGAACATAACTAACCAATGAGCATGAACTTAGGCGGGCTTTTACTAATCATGTAACAATATAAATACGCTGTAGTTCTTTTGTGTGGTGTGCTAGCTTTGTGGAATTACCACCTAGCACCCATCTTTGCGCAAACATGAGATAAATAAGTATCTCGGGTCTGTGTGTAAGATTGACTTATTGCACACCGGGTACTGGATCCCGCTTGTGGGAAAACATAGGGATGACATGAGTCCCAGTAAACGTATGGCCTGGTAGTTCCCCTTTTCCATTTAGCCTTCCCATGACTTTCATCTCCTTTGAACATTCTACGTTGTAAAACAGAACAAACACCTTTGATTCATCTCAGAGGCAGACTAACTTCAGCTCTGTGCCTTTTTCATTATTCAGTGTTAAGGGCTAAAAATCTAGGTGTCTGTATTCAATTGAGAGCGAAGTTTGCAGCTGCAGATAGCTGCTGAAGCTATTTAATCACACAGAGGAGGTAGGAAGTGCTGTCCAGAGTCTAATGTCATCTTCTCAGAGGGAGAATTGGGAAATCAGAGTGTGGGGAAAAAGACACAGACAGGATTAATAAGAGAAGTGAGCCCTTGTGGCAAAGGCTAACCACATACTGGACCGACCTAGCAAGAATGTATCTAGCAGGGTGAAGGAGGTGATGATTCTCTTCTCTCCATCACTTGTGAGTATATGGCTGGAGTACTATGTCCAGCTTTGGGCTCCCCAGTAAAAAAAAAAAAAAAAAAAAATCCATAAAATACATGAATACTAAAACTGGTCAAGGGGAGAGCCACCAAGTTGCTAATGAGCTGGAGCACTTGATTTACAAGGACAGACAACAGGGCTGAACAACTGGATTTGTTCAGCCTGGAGAAGAGAAAGCTCAGGCGAATCCAATTGCAGTCTCACTGCATAAAGGGGCTAAGGAGAAGATGGAGCCAGAGTCTCAGTGGTATACAGTGAAAGGACAAGAAGCAATGGTCATAAGTTACAGTAGGGCGGTCAAATATTGGAAGAGGTGCCCAGAGAGGGTGTGTCATGTCCATCCTTGGAGATTTTCTGAACTTGGCTGGACAGGGACTGGGCTTATCTGATCTAGCTTTGAAATTAGACCTGCTGAGCAGGAGTTTGGACCAGATGGACTTTAGAGGTTCCTTCCAAATTAAATCTTGCCATGACTCTGTGATCTGTGAGTATGAAGGGAAGACTCACTACAATTTTTAGGGGAGAATGCCCAAGGGCATCACCTGGGCATCACCAAGGGCAATAGGCGATCACCTGAAATTGTGTCATCTGTTCCCCTTTCTTGTAACTTGAATGAAGTTGCTCGAGGACTTGTCCAGTCAAGTTCATGCAGTCTCCAAGGATGGAGATTTCCCAGCCTCTCTGGATACCTGTTCCTGTGTTTGGCCACCCCCACTGTGAAGAATGTTCTCCTTGTGTCTAATTGGGATTTCCCTTACTACAATTTCTGTTAGCTGCCTCTAGTAGTGCTTTAATCAGCCCTGGCAGAGTGTAAGTGTGAATATGGGGACAAGACAGAGGGCTCCAAAGGAACACTTGCTGATAAAGAGATGATTCCGTCTGCCATTGTAGCTGTGCTCCTGGGTACCTTCTTGTAGTCTTTTAGTCACGTTTTACTGATTTAAAAGCATATCAGTGAAAGATGTTATAATGGTTAAATGTTTTAATATTCTGATTTGAAATAGAAAGAACAAAGAAGGAAGATCCAGGGACAGATGAGCATCAAATTCTTTAGTAAATTGGCTGACCTTCACAGAGAAGGGGTATTTTTCTTTGTTGCTTTGTACAGACAGTGTCTGTGAACACAGATTGGCACCATATCATTTAGCATCTTGCTGACAGCGTGTTTCAGCCTGTGAGCACCAGCATCTACTGGCAAGTCTGAATCCCCTCCAGGGCAGCGGGTGTGCTCATAACAAGGAAGATGGAGGCCACTGGGAATGAGAGAGGATGCACTCGGTGCAGGGCCTGGAGCAGAGTGTGTAGTGGAGGATGTGAAGAGGCGCTGTGCAGCCGGGGTGTTTGATTCAACTCTTTTATTTCTGAACCTGCCTCCCTGACACCCATGAACTCTGCTTTTTTCTATCCAGAAGCTGACATTTAGGATCCTCCCATTTCACTGTCTTGGTTATCTTTTTGTAGATGGGCAAATGTGAAGCTGTTATGCTCCTTCCACTTCAGAACAGCACTGCAGGGCTCATTCCCCCAATGCACCCCTTTATTCACTTCACCCCTATCTTCTTCACTGTCCATATCCTGTTTGAAGGGATGTTGAAACCAATAACTTCTCTTTAGTTCCCAAACCTTTCAAGATTTATGATGTCTCAGGCTCTACCAAGGGTTTTACTTTCACACTTAGTATACAACACGAGGTTTTATTTTCCATACAAAATGTGTTCAAATGAACCGCTTCTCTGAACTTCCCAGTGCCATGGAAGGATTGTGGACCTCCCCTATCCCCAAAGATAGTGGACCTCCCTGAGCAGCCTGTGTTTTGGGCACCATACATGTGTAGTCAGGAGAACTTTGACAGCCTCTGAGATAGAAGACAGACTGGATGAAATAATGGATTTGCTTGAATTTAAAATACTAGATAGTATAAATTCTTCCCTCTGAAATATGCCACTGTTAACAGGGGAAAAGCCCTTTCCAAGCTGCTGGGGCCAAGATTTGGGCTGAGACCAAGTGGAGTTTACTATATGAAGATACGGAAATAGTTTATAAAGATCATCCAGCCATAGAAATGAAAGAAATGTACCCTGCAAGTTATCATCACTGACCTGACCTTCCTGCAGTAATAGTGAATGCTCCCTAAAAAGTCACACCAAGCAGTCAGCAGGAAACCCAGAGGCTAACATTTGTTTTCACAAAGCAGCCATCAAACAAAGGTGTATAGCAGATTGCTAGGAAAAAAATCAAGTGTTAGTTTATAGGAAGAAAAAGGGGTAAAATGTGGCAGCTTAGGTGCCTGCTGTGAATTAGTTTTTTCAAGTTGAATGGGTTGAAACAGATGAAACATTGTACCTTACTTGCATTGTGCCTTGCACTTCCTACTGCAATAGTAAGGAATTCTAGATAGTTCAACTGGTAGTTGTGCCCGTGAATTACGACTTGGCTCTACTGAGTATAGTGAATTTATTCAGTTCACAAACATCTTTTGGCACATTAGGAAGAGGGGTTCATTTTTTCACCAAGGAACTGCTTCAGTCTTTGAGAATATTCTCCAAGGAAATATTGAATATTAAAGACATATAATTATTTTTTCATTTATTTTAAGGAAAGTCTCCAAATACTAAGGCATATACACATAGATACAAGGTATATATATATACAAGGAATATATGCATATGTGATGCAAAACAGATGCTGATATGCAAAACTTCAAAGAACTCATGCAATGCAACTCCACCCAGAAAAGTGGAGGCATCATTTTCTTTCAAGAAGTATGACAAGTGCTTTAATAACACATGATTCATAGTGTGTGCCTTGGGCTCCAGAGATCCCAAACAGTGTGGATATAATACAAGAGCTCAGGTAGGATCTGTGGCAATGGATTCTGCGTCAGTTTGAGTACTGATTGTGTGTGGCTCTGAATGGAGCACATAATTATTATCCTCACTGCTATTTGCATAGTAATTAATGTTATGATAGCACTGAAATTATTCAGGTAATGTTTTAATCCAACCATAACATTTGACTCTAATTTTCACAGAGGTTGCTTCCAGGGATTCCCTGTAGTCTTCTCACAAATGTCCTTTTGTTTCTATAAATATTAATGCATATATGAAAAGAATTTTATGGCTAAATAGGGCCTTGTGTTCTTTCTGTATTCCTGTACCTCAAACAGAGGAACAGTTGGAAGAACAGATTTAGGAAAGAAGGCATACCTAGGCAAACTGCTCTAGAAGAGGATTATGGGTGGACGGTTGTCAGGTGTACAGTAAGTATTTCAGTGAATAAAATCATCAAGGATGTAGTTGGACTGGTTTATGACTGGCAGGTGTTAGTGTAAAATGCTGACTGTAAGACTGTAAGAATCATTGCTTGACTGTAGCTAATTCTTTCAAGTTGCTTCCTAGGCTTGTAGTTTTTAGCTTTGTAGTTTTTTTCCTGTCTCTTATTTGTGAGCCTGGAAGGGAAAATGCAGACTAAGAGGAAGATTTAGTCTCTAATGACCCGTTCATTTGAATCACCATTCTGAGAAAACTGCATGGTAAACAAGCAAAAATAAAAATATATTTAAAACTTCCAGTTCCTAGAGTTGGTATCTCACAGTGGCAGATCCCACATCCCTTCTTCCAATGCTTCTTCAGGTGAAATGAACAGCCACTTTCTCACAGATCCAGAATTGCTTTGTCAAACAGGAGTGGCTGGCATAAATAATCCGTCCATATAAGGAGGCACAGAAAATGTTGTCATATAACATAACCCTAGGAAATTAAAAGATATGGCTTAATGATGTCCCAGTGACATCATGCGATCTATATTTGGACCATTTGTAGTCATACCGATTTGCCACTGGAATGTAGAGTTATTTCCCCCTTGGAGCTATTTTATTTGTGCTAGGTGGTCCTTTTGAGTCTGGTGCATGTGATCGAGCTGTACTTTGCCACCCATTGTTCTGTATACAGGACACGAATTCGGAGCTCCATAGCAGATACTATGGTCTCCATGCTCCTTCGCCATTGCACATGACAAACACGGGAAAGTAATAGGAAGCACAACTCTCATATAATTTAGTGGGGCCCATCGGATAGAACCATGCTGGTGCTAAGTTATGAAGGCTTACCAATTTGTTGCCTCTTTTGAAAAAGCTGTTCCATCTTCCCAGTACCAGCCGCTCCTTTCAGATACGTATGACAATCCAACCCAGTAAAACTGTGAATCCTGTGGCAGAGAAACCTGTAGGTATGAGAAAATCATCACAACAATATTTCAAAAATAAGACCTAAGTTCCTGTATCTTCCATCTGTGAAGGTTCTGCAACCAAAGGAGATTACTCTTACTCAATAAGAGAGTAACCTGTTGTCCATGCGTGTTTTCCATGAGGCAGTGCTGACTGCTGTGATTATAGGATCATTCAAATACCATTGTTTATTGAATTGCCACAAGACAAATGTACCCTGGATCTGTAAAAACACTGCTATTTTAAAGAAAACAAACAAACAAAAAAATCAGCTTTATCTGGTCTGCCTTCAGGTATCTACACTGCCTTTAGATATCTGCAGTTTAGATATAGGTATGAGAGCGCCATTTAAGCCCCAATTCGAGTCAGCAGAGATCTGGCCAACAGATCCAATGGGGCCTGAGAAGTGATTCATCTCACCCCGTGGGAGTGCTACTGAATAGTGACCGTATTGGCCAGATCTCCCACTGACTGTAACGGAGCCTGAGGAAGTAGCTCTGAAGTTGCAGACAGCTTACACTGTAGATGCCTGAAGTTAGGTTAGATGAATCCCAGCCTAGAGGGCAGAGCCTGTTGCCTAAATACAGGCCTCTAGCACCTTTTGAGATTCTCCAACCTGTCTGAGGTCTTCACATATGGCTGACAGACAAGATCCAGAACCTATGGGACAACTGTGCCTTGCTGAGGCATTATTTGGAGGTCAAAGAGAATACCCCCGGGGATCTCAGATTGCCCTAGAAACCTATGCTTAAGTACCTGAAGTGTTCCCTAGGTGTCTAAGTGCTACCTAAGAGGTTCCTCACCATCTTAGCCTGTTCAGATCCTCCAGATACTCTACTGCTGCTCAGTAGCATGTTTAGGGACTCATCCAAAATCTAAAATCCACAGCTGGCTTAAACTGGTCTGGCCTCAGTCTGGCTGCAGCTGCATATGCCAAACATGGAAGAAAAAGCAAGCACCCAGACATCTGGAATCAAACTATCCAGGGATTTATATAGCATACCAAAATCGTCTCTTGAATTCAGCATTGAAGGTGTGGTGTCTCCCAACAGTGTGAACCACAATTCTGACCACAGGATGCTGCTAAACTCAATAATAAACCATTTCTCCACTTTCTATTTTGTCTCTACCCATCTGATTTTCACTTTTAAAAAAAAAGTCCAAAAGGCCAGCCTTTATGCCTTAAAACGAAAGAGTTGAGAACCCCTCATCTGAAACTAACTCCGTCTGGAAAAAGGAGAGAAATTTCCAGGGAAGCTTGTTTCCTTTTAGAAGTTTTATGTAGAAAAAGAAAATAAAGATTTTTGGGCTTTGTGTAAGCTTAACAGCTGTTGAAAAAGAGGTTCCTAGATATGTGTGTACAAAAAGGGAAAATATGGTCTTTACGGCAAATTACAGATTTTTCATTAGTCAGCAAAACACTCCCAAATTAGTAAGACTACTTAAAATTATTAATTCCCTGAACCTTTTCAGACATCATAATAAAATACTCTGCTGCCTAGCCTTTGTGCCATCATTAACACCACTCTGTGAGGGTGTAACACGGGGTCAGAAAACAACCTTTTACAGTCACCTTGCACTGCAGCGTGCAAATGACAGTACCATGGTGAATCATCTGCTCTCTAGATTTCGCATAGATGTAGGTTTGATGCTGGGAGCCCTCAGTAATGAAACTTGTGGAAAGCGATAACCAAAACATGCATTCGTGTGCTGGGTCTCTCCTCCACGCTGATAATATGCAATTCATTTTCTCTGTGAAAACCTAAGTATTAGCTAATTAAGGTGTTTTATACAATGGCTTATTCTATTTCTCATAATACATAATTTCACTATTTCTCACAGCACAAAATTTAGAAAGTGTTTCGAGTCATGACAATCTTGTGACTTATAGGAAGGCTACTTGGCCCAGAGAAAATCAAATACATGCACTGTAAACGACCAAATTATTTTCCACCTGCAAGATTGCTGGAGGTTAAAACACGTGACATAAAGGAACGCATGAGGTTAAGACTGTACCATCTTTGCTTTGTCTTTTAGCACAAGAAGAGTGGAGTTTCTTGAGGAACAGAACTCCTGGCTTTGCTTCCATGTTTTCTTCTGCTTTGAAATGTAGAAGCAGTTGTCAGCTCCACTGTTTTGCCAGCTTGCTGGACAGAGAGCACATTTTGTTTCTAGAAATCAGAGAGAGTATTATGCAGACCTGCAAGGAATACAGGGGCTTTAGCTACTGGCTTGACCGAAAAAAGATTAAGGGTAGCCATGAATCAGCTGAGCTCTTGAGGGGCGAGAGACAAGTTGTTTTGCATGTTAGTGTATACATATCCACATCTCAAATACTACCACAGTTAAAAACAGACACTAACCGATCAGGTCTTTTCTCTGTGATTTTATAGTCTCTCCATCAACGCGGGCTCTGAAAAGGGGGTGATTTGTGTTTATTTACATAACAACATTTACCATTTTTCTCTTTCCCTTCAAAACACAATGCTTCCTTCATTTCCTGCAGCTTCTTTCCTTCCTCAGGATCCTTGGAAACCTGAAAAACTGAAGGGCATGAAAGTGCTTATCGAAGATTGTTTTTAAAAATTTGTAGCTTTAATTGTAGCTTAATTTGTAGCTTTTGACATTCTTTTATTTTTTTCTACTTCATTTGTATATCCACCATTGTGTGTACATCATCCGCATTTTCTTCACCAGGGGGGTTGTGCAGCACTGGAAAAGGTCACCTGGGAAGGTGGGGGCATCTCCACCCCTGAAGATTTTCAAAATTCATCTGGCCAAAGCTACAGATAAGTTTATCTGGGGTTGGTGATAGTCAGCTTTGAATAGTGGGGAGGAAAGGGTAGGTGTCAGACTAGAAACCTTTAGAATTGCCTCTGAGCTAACATTTCCATGATGCCATGGACCACCCTGAGTGTTCATCCTGGGCACTTGCAGCTGCTTCCCTCCTGCCAAAAAGAAGCCAGGGAGTCTCTGTCTCTGCTTCCAATTGTAATGTGGCATCATCTTTGGTTGTTAATTGAAATGTTTCTATGGAAAATCTGCTGTAATCGTTGGGCAAGTGCACCAGTCACAATGCTTTGATGCCAGGATTGCCCTCCCTGCAAAAAGCTTGCAGTCCAAGAAAAAGAGGGAACTAACTGTGAAATATTCCGGTAACAGTCACAGGAGGGCACCATTATCCAGATAGTGTGGCTAACGAGATGAGCTTCTAGCTGTGAAAACATTCATAAGCGTTTCAGAAATGGGTTAGGGTTAGGGTTTAGAGTTAGGATTAGGGTTAGGGTTAGTCAGCGGTTAGGGGGTTTAGAGTAGGATTAGGGTTAGGGTTAGGGTTAGTCAGCGGTTAGGGTTAGGGATAGGGTTAGGGTTAGATTTTAGGGTAAGGGTTAGGGTTAGGCTTAGGGGTATAGGTTAGGGTTGGGGTTAAGGTTGGGGTTAGAGTTAGGATTACGGTTAGGGTCATTATGATTAGGGTTAGGGTTAGGCATTAGGTGTTAGGCTTAGGGTTATAGGATTAGGGTTAGGGTTAGGGTTAGTCAGCGGTTAGGGTTAGGGATAGGGTTAGGGTTAGATTTTAGGGTAAGGGTTAGGGTTAGGCTTAGGGGTATAGGTTAGGGTTGGGGTTAAGGTTGGGGTTAGAGTTAGGATTACGGTTAGGGTCATTATGATTAGGGTTAGGGTTAGGCATTAGGTGTTAGGCTTAGGGTTATGGTTTAGGATTAGGGTTGGGGTTAGGCTTATGCTTAGGGATAGGGATTAACTTTAGTGTTACGATTAGGGTCATTAAGGTTAGGGTTAAGGTTAGGGGGTTAGGGTTAGTGTTAATGTTAGGGGTTAGGTTTAGGGTTAGGGTTAGTTAGGTTTAGGTCTTGCATAAGAATTAGTGTAACCTTTAGGCTTAAGGTAACTATAAGTGCAGATATTAGTGATCCTGAGTGAACTGTCCTGACACTCAGTTGCGGGGAGACTTCTGTGGGAGAGCTGTGCTGTTGCCCTTCTTGCCGTATTATTTCCATTTCCAGACCAGGGACAGTCTGCAGGGGGAGAAGAAGCAGTTGCACAGCTGGAATTCACTCCCACAGCAGCAGCTTGGGACACCACAGTACTTACACAGGGCCAGCAGGGCTACCAGCCCCGTCAGCAGCACCAAGCACAAAGCGAGGAAAGCAAAGGCCACTGGCCGCCATACGGAAGATGAGGCAGAGGCTCCTGGGATAAACAAAAAACCCATTCAGCAACAAAAACAGCAGCTCTCCTCACCACGCAGTGGTATTACCTCCTCTCTGACATCACCAGTTCATCTTTATCCTATCTGCAAAACCTCTTCTTTTCTTACTGCAGTTTTTGTTATCACTGTTCTGAATTTCCTGCAGTCATTTTAAGAAGTATGTATTTATCCACTGAGAATGTTTATTAACTGAGGCTCTAGTGTTTTAGAGTAAAAATTCTCAGGAAACAGGTAAACAGATTAGATTTTGCAGTTCCCACAGTCCTGGAAATAATAAAACAATCTCTAAGACTTCTCCACCTTGAAAGGGAAAGATTACCATCTAGTCTTGGATAATTAATTCTGGAACCTGTCATTGGGATTTCTAAATGATTGCAATGTTTGAACATTAAACTGTGCATCTTTCTTCAGGCTCTTTCTCCAAATTTCCATTGTTGTTCAATGTCTAATCAGGAATATAGTTCTCCAGAATGTTATAGCTGACTATCCCCTGATTAAAATCTTTTCTTTCATACATATGCATTTTTCCCTTTTGGGAAGCAGTGCTCTGCAATTTTCTGTAATACTCTTTTAGATCTATTTAGAGTGTTCAGGTTAACTGAAAAGTATTACACACATCAAGTATTTTACTTGAGTCCAGTACACCAAAGGAAGCACCTGCAGGGAACTAACCTTTTGTTAGGTGAGAAGAATCACCCTCCAGAGGTGTCCAGAAGTCCAGATAGACTTGGCAACTAAAACTTACATAGCCAAAGTTAAGGAAGATGACCCTAACCCTCATCAGTTAAGGTAATTTGAAGAGGCTGCAGATGACACCACATTGGGGTGGTGACTGATATGCTGGAGGGTAGGGCTTCCTTTTAAAGGGACCTAAAAATCCTAGGAATGAGCTGTAAGTTCAACAGCTCGACAAAAGCAAATGTGATGTCCAGCACCTGTAATAGTACAACTCCATGCACCAGTACAGGTAGGGGACTGACTGGCTAGAAAACAGCTATGCTTCAGGGTCCTGGTGGACAAGTTGAACGTGAATCCTCAAGTGTGCCCTTGTGGCAGTGAAAGCTGACCAGCACTGGGCTGCATTGGCAAGACTGCAGCCAGCAGGTCAAGAGAAGTGATTATTCCACTCTACTTGACAGTCATGAAGCCATGTCGGGGTACTGTGTCCAGTGCTGAGCTTCCCAGTTCAAGAGAGATGTCAGCTAACTGCAAAGAGTCCAGCAGAGGAACACTGAGTTAGTCAGGCACCTATAGAGAGGCTGGAGGACCTAGGCTTGTTTAGCCTGGAGAAGAGGAGGCTAAGGGAGGACCTAATTTCAGTCCTCCACTACCTAAAAGGGCTTTATAGATGGAGCCAGACTCTTCTTAGAAAGGCACAGCGAAAGGACACAATACAACAGTCACAAGTTGCGTCTGGGAAACTTCTGATTAGATGTGAGGAAAAAGAATTCTTCCCCTTCAGCACTGGAACAAATGCCCAGAGAGGCTGTGAGATCTCCATCCCTGGAGGTTTCCAAAACTCAAGTGGACAAGGCCCTGAGCAACTTGATCGGACTTTAGAGCTAACCCTTCTGAGCAAAAGATTGGAAAAGATGAACTATAGAGGTCCTTCCCAACCTAATTTGGTTATAAGTCTATCTACTTTACATGTTCTCTGTGCATATCAAAAGGCCATTTTAAGAGATTTCTGAGCTTGCCAACCTGTTTCTTTCCAGAAAGCTCTGCCCCTAGACCACACTCCCTAATATTTTATCCTTGGTTTTCTGGCTGCTGCTTCTCAAGAGCTTCTCCTCCATCCTCCTTGTCAAGTGGTCATTCTCAATGGATAGCCCTAGATCTTTTCCAGACAGCACCAGAGTGATGTTAATTTACTCTTTGTCTACTCTACCCAACCTGCAAATAGCAGCAATGAAATTTATTTCACATGTAAGCCATGTGGTGAATTTATAAGCAGCAGCAACAGTACTCAAGTCATCATTTTATGGTCTCAGGCATTCCACGGGCACAATCCAATACCTTAGTTAACACTCAGCTTGTTTATAGAAAAACTTTGAGTATAAACAAATAAAAATATATACTCCTATCAGAGCTTACATTCACTATTAAGACTGATAAACAGGGCACCTTTCTACTCCCCATAGCTGGGGAAATGGCTTCTATTTCCAAGGCCTGCCTTATCTGATAAAACTATAGTGCCTTCCTCTCTTGTAGTGCCCTGCTGCAATAAATGAGGCCTACCAAAACAAAAAAAAATCCATAAAAAGGTGGAATTTGTCTTCTGTATTGAAGTAAATGGAAAAAATAATTGGAGTAAAGATAGGCTTCAGAAAAAATATCTGTGATCATAAACAGTACCACACAAGACTCCATTATGATTATTTTTTCTGCTGTTTCTATGAACATTTATCTAAGAATATACTATAAAGTTTAGAAAGATTCTAAAGCAATCAACATGAACATGCAAATTTAAGTTATGCTCCAATTTAGGTAGAAAAGCTAACTTCCATCTGTACTTACTGTCTACTGTAACACAACTGGCCGGAGCCTTAAATGCAGAACATTTGTTGCTGCTCGAATATCCATGAGTAATAACTGAAGCTGAAGGTCGTAAATTTAAAGCGGTGTAGCCTTCTTCATCCTCCATCTCCAGCTCGTCACACTTCTTTCCTGCAATAGCAGTACTTTGGGAGTAGGGGCACACTGCAGCAAGACCAAAGCTGAGGTGATGGGAATAGTTCACGTTTCAGCATTTCCAGTAAAACCACAGAGGAAGCTGGCGCTGTTATGATTACTGTGTCATAGTAAAAGTGTAGTATATTGAAAGCACGTTAAGGAGTTAAAGTGGCACTGTCAAGGATGGGTGTTTTCTTCCTGAAAATGAAGATCGGGAGTCTTGGTTCCTTGCTGGAACCTAAGACTGTTTCATTTAACTATCCACCTGATCTGACCCTGCAAATACAGCAAACATCAGGATTTTCTACCTCCTTAAAATAAGATGGTCCAGAAATAGTTGCTATTTTGAGTTAAGGTATGAAAGATATCTGTTCATGTATCAGGGCACAAATACAACACGTCAGCTGCACTGAAAACAATAGGCTGCATCTCTATACACTGTTATGAAATAAATGAAGAATGAAATTATTTTACAAAAAAATCACTGAAATAAATGCTAGAAGGGGAAAAGCTGAGCTGAAAGGATGGTGAGGCCAGGAGCTTGGCAGGATTCATGCGACCACTCAGCCTGTGTCAGGGACAGGCCTTGGAGAACAAGTCTGATGAGGAGCGGCTGAGGGAACTGGGGTTGTTTAGCCTGGAGAAAAGGAGGCTGAGGGGAGACCTCATCGCTCTCTACAACTACCTGAGAGGAGGTTGTAGCGAGGTGGGTGTCGGTCTCTTCTCCCAAGTAACAAGCGACAGGACAAGAGGAAACGGCCTCAAATTGCACCAGGGGAGGTTTAGATTGCACGTGAGGAAAAATTTCTTTACTGAAAGAGTGGTGAAACATTGGAAGAGGCTGCCCAGGGAAGTGGTTGAGTCCCCATCCCTGGAGGTATTTAAAAGACGAGTAGATGCGGCACTTAGGGACATGGTTTAGTGGGCATGGTGGTGTTGGGTTGACGGTTGGACTCGATGATCTTAGAGGTCTTTTCCAACCTTAATGATTCTATGATTCTAAGGCCAGACTACACTGAGGACCTCTCTGCTGTTGCATTGTATGCAGAAGTCACTGTGCAGAAGTGGCTTATTCATCCTCACTCTCCATCTCTAGCTCTTTGCAGTGCCTTGCTCCACTGCTGAGCTGTAGTTCTTAAACGTCTTCAGTGACCAACTCTCCTTAACACAGCACTTGCCCAGACATGATGAGTCACATTGTGGTGACAGGGTGAGTCAGAAGGAAACTGCAAGACAGGAATTTCTGTGGTGAAGCTGTTCCTGCTCTTGTGTGTAAATTTCAGAGTGTCCCATTTGCAAAATAATATCAACAGACTGGAAATACACTGTAATGACCGGGCTATGCTTCCTGCCTTGCTGTGCAGATAGATTTTTTCAGAGCAGAAGTATCTCTGGCTGCATGCATTTCTTGCATTATATTTTACCTGTAGGCAAAGAGAAGGCGTGAGGGAAAAGTTGGGAGTAAAGGGTGCTTACAGTCAGTTTTGTTACACAGACAGGCACACAAGGAGTAGCATTCACTGTGTATTCATGGTGTATCCATAATATCCTCATAAAACCCTCGTGCTAAATACGGTCCAAAAATCCTTGTCTATCGGGCCCAAAAACTGTATGTTGGCACCTTAGGGCTTTTCTGCAGAGAACTGGGAGTCAAGCGTGTCTATGCTACTGAATTTGGTTGCAGGTTTTCATGACAGTAACCTCTTCAGCCTTAGCAACAACTTCTCAAACATGTAATGAATCTCCTTTGGGGAAACTTTTCTCCAACCTGATTTTACTTCTGGAGAGAAAACAGGAGGTAAAATAATTTTCTTGTATTACTTTTCTAGCTCTGAATTCAATAAGCAGTCTTAATTATATCACTTTTTTTTTGAGTCATCTTTTAAAACAGATCCTGCCACAAGAACAGAAGTAACAAAAGCGTTAAGATGGAGCTTCACCATCACGCTGTCTGTTCTTGTAAGGATCCAGGGCAGGCAAAATTTCTTGTTTTTTCAGACTAAAATAAAAAGAAAGGTAAAATAAGGCAGGAAGTTTGGGTCTGCATTTGAGCACAGCCCATGTATAAATGTTGTCAGCAGGCTGGACAAAACAGCTCTGTTCATTAACCAGAATGTGACCTTGCAAATTGCATTAGCTAGAGTTTATGACTGGGAGAAGGGATGTGGGGAGGAGTGGATTTTAGATATGGGAAACACAGTATTGTATGGAACTGTGACTCAAAAATGCCATCTCAGCCAACACACAAACAGTACATTTCTGTATCTCTTCCCCTGTAAGGAAAATTTCCTTTCAATGGAAAAGAGGATACCGTCAGTCAGCGCATCCTTAAGCCCTACCTGGTTACAACACCACCAGGGTATGTCCTTTGCCAGTTTCAACCTTGCTGGACGGGGTTGTTTGCTGCAGCACTCCGAATGCCTGCAATGAATGGTAGGACACTGCCTGCCTCCTCTCTTTCTTCTCTGGGGTGATTTTTTTTTCTCTCTTTTTTTTTTTTTTTTGGTGTTTCAGTCATTGTATTTTGAGAAGAAGCTAGCTCCTTCTGTTTCAGTAGCATGGCACACTGTGAAACCGTACTCTAACCCCACCTGCCTTTACAGTTACAAATACAGTTGCTGCACCAGAGACTGCTTTTGGGCTGACAGTAAACTGACCCGAAAGATCAAGGCCACAGTAAGATATGGTGTAGCCTTGTGGCTGCCTGTCAACATAGGGAGCTGTCAATTTTAGCTCACATTTGTCTTCAACAAACTGCAGAAACACCTAGGATTCGCCCCGCTGCTCTTAGGCATGCCTCATTAATGAAAAAACATCCTGGAAATATCTTTCCTGTTTCCTCACAGTCACTCTAATGTAAGAGAAAACAAGATCAGAGTTGCTTTTTTTTCTTTTTAAATTTTTCTGGCAAATTACAGCAAAGCCCTTCGTTATCAAGAAAGGATGATGAATCATGAATACCGTTCTCATTGTATTTGAGAAGAAGCTAGCTCCTTCTGTTTCAGTAGCATGGCACACTGTGAAACCGTACTCTAACCCCACCTGCCTTTACAGTTACAAATACAGTTGCTGCACCAGAGACTGCTTTTGGGCTGACAGTAAACTGACCCGAAAGATCAAGGCCACAGTAAGATATGGTGTAGCCTTGTGGCTGCCTGTCAACATAGGGAGCTGTCAATTTTAGCTCACATTTGTCTTCAACAAACTGCAGAAACACCTAGGATTCGCCCCGCTGCTCTTAGGCATGCCTCATTAATGAAAAAACATCCTGGAAATATCTTTCCTGTTTCCTCACAGTCACTCTAATGTAAGAGAAAACAAGATCAGAGTTGCTTTTTTTTCTTTTTAAATTTTTCTGGCAAATTACAGCAAAGCCCTTCGTTATCAAGAAAGGATGATGAATCATGAATACCGTTCAGGATACCTTCCACATGAGATTTCTTATTTCAGTGTAGCTGGTATGAACACTGAGAGACACTCTGGGAAGTCACCAGGGCTGTGTCTGCACTGCAGGACAGAAGCAGTCTGCATTTTCACCCCCAAAACCAGGAACAGCTAGGAGAGGAACTGAGAGGATCAGCTAGGAAAAGTTATGTTAGAGATGTGAGCAATGAGCATAAACAGCAGTGAGGAAGAGAAATCCACTAAGGCTTCTGGAGCGTGAAATTGGTATTTGAAAATAACACCCAAAATGTTCATGTTGGTGATCAGAAACTGCTGTGTAGTGCTGAGATCAGTGAGGCACTGGAACAGCCCCTTGAAGGGAATGACTTTCAAGTAATTTTCAAGTAGCAGCCCAACTGCTACACCAGTGGTAAATGATCCACAATAAATAATCTGGCATGCAATCCACAGGGAATACACAAGTCTCCAGAGGGGACCAAGCTAGGAATTTGTGGACTTTTTGCTCAAATCAAAACACTGTTATGGGATTGAGATTTCTTGTTTCAACCTGACCATCAGTGTTCTACGGAGGTGTGGAGGGAGACATTTTGTTCATTAACACTGCTTGGGGTATTTTCACTATGGTTAAGTTTGTAGACCCTTGCTCAGCACATTAAGTTAGTAGTATGGCATTCCAGGAAGTATCCTACATACATAAAAGGAGATTCTGTTCATGCCTCTGACTGAACCCTAGTGTAACTCTTGCAATAGGTCAAAAAAGTAGAAAATTAGAAAAGTAGAAAGAAAGAGCAGAATTATTACAAGGAAAAAAAAAAAAAAAAAAAGAAAAAAAAAAGAAAAAGGAGAACTAAAAGTGCCAGGAAGAATTATAGAGCATGGAAGAGAGCTAGACGGTTAGAGATAGCTGAAGGTTATCTTGTCCTGTGACACATGCACAAGTCCTTACGAAGACTATGAATCCCTGTGCTCCAGAGCAAATATGATTATTAATACAGTTCGGGAACACCTTGGCCCACCTTCTGAGGATAACTGTGTTTGTGTGTTGCATACTCCAACCTACTAGTGTATTAAAGCAGTCAGATCAACAAGACATCAGAAGCATCTCCTGAATGAAAGTGTTTAATCCTCATCACTTGTGTTACATTACAGCTGTACAGTTATGAACTGACAGGTGGTATTAGGAATGTATCAGTGGATGCTGGGAGAGGAGCAGTATCTTTACATGCTTGCCTTGTCACTGTGCTTCTTTTCCTGGCCATCACTTTTGGCCATTTTGTCCATCACTTGTGTTGGTTAAAACTGAGTAATCATTTGGCAGTTTTGGATCTGGAACAGCAGACTTGGGTTGCTCCTGGAGCCCGTCACCATGCCCGTTTCCTTAGTATGAAGATATTTTTACATATGTCTAAAAGAGAATGAAAACAGGGAAATGTAATAGGTTCGATCCAACATATTTAAATTCTCGTGTGATAGTTCTGAAAAACAAAATAATAAATTCCAACCTTGCAGAACGTCTTCTAGCTTCTCACAATCATTTTGGTCTGACAAACCAGTCCTCCTGCCAACGGTTGTTACCTCGCTGTAATTGGATGGTGGGCTTTTCACAGATACAGTAAAGCTTTTCTTTACATGATTTGTTATATATGGTATCATAATAAATATATCCACAGGA